ACTATGTCGTTTTTATGACTTTTTATGCCTCACTACACTGTCGTTTTTATGATTTTTTATGCCTTACTATACTATGACGTTTTAATGACTTTTTATGCCTTACTATACTATGACGTTTTTATGCCTTTTTATGCCTTACTATACTATGACGTTTTCATGCCTTACTATACTATGTCGTTTTTATGACTTTTTATGCCTTACTATACTATGTCGTTTTTATGACTTTTTATGCCTTACTATACTATGACATTTTTATGACTTTTTATGCCTTATTATACTATGACATTTTTATGCCTTACTATATTATGACATTTTTATGACTTTTTATGCCTTATTATACTATGACATTTTTATGCCTTACTATACTATGACATTTTTATGACTTTTTATGCCTTATTATACTATGACATTTTTATGCCTTACTATACTATGTCGTTTTTATGACTTTTTATGCCTCACTACACTGTCGTTTTTATGATTTTTTATGCCTTACTATACTATGACGTTTTTATGACTTTTTATGCCTTACTATACTATGACGTTTTTATGCCTTTTTATGCCTTACTATACTATGATGTTTTTATGCCTTACTATACTATGTCGTTTTTATGACTTTCTATGCCTTACTATACTATGACTTTTTATGCCTCACTATACTATGTCGTTTTTATGACTTTTTATGCCTCACTATATTATGACGTTTTTATGACTTTTTTTCCTTACTATACTATGACTTTTTATGCCTTACTATACTATGTCATTTTTAAGACTTTTTATGCCTTACTATACTATTAATTTTTATGCCTTACTATACTATAATATTTCATGTCNTATGACTTTTTATGCCTCACTATATTATGACGTTTTTATGACTTTTTTTCCTTACTATACTATGACTTTTTATGCCTTACTATACTATGTCATTTTTAAGACTTTTTATGCCTTACTATACTATTAATTTTTATGCCTTACTATACTATAATATTTCATGTCTTACTATACTATGACTTATTTATGACTTACTATAATATGACATTTTCATTCCTTACTATACTGTGACTTTTCATGCCTTACTATACTATGACTTTTTATATCTTACTATAGTATGACTTTTTTGCCTTACTATAAAATGACTTTTATTGCCTCACTATACTATGATTTTTTTTTGCCTTACTATACTATGACTTTTTTGCCTTACTATACTATGACATTTCTACTTTACTATACTATGACATTTTTATGCCTTAACTATACTATGATTTTTTTTTGCCTTACTATACTATGACTTTTTTGCCTTACTATACTATGACATTTCTACTTTACTATACTATGACATTTTTATGCCTTACTATACTATGACATTTTTATGCCTTACTATACTATAACAATTAATGTCTTATTATACTATGCCTTAATGACTTGTTATACTATGACTTATTTATGACTTACTATACTATGACATTTTCAGTCCTTACTATATTGTGACTTTTTATGCCTTACTATAGTATGACTTTTTTGCCTTACTATACTATGACTTTTTATGCCTTACTATACTATGATTTTTTTTTTATGCCTTACTATACTGTGACTTTTTATGCCTTAATATACTATGACATTTTAAGCCTTAGTATACTATGACTTCATGATTTACTATAGCATGCCTTGCTTTCATCCAAATTTTAATCTTGGATTATTTTATAATCTGTGTTTTTATATTGTTTTCATACTGTTTTCTTATTATGTTTTTTTCCTTCTAATTGTATGTTTCTTTTTTTCTCTTCTTCTCACAGGTTTGTTGATCAACTCACACAAATAATATTGAAACAAATTTACCTCCATAAATGTGTGCCATGTAGACAGATACACTGGATTACCATATATATCACAAGTAATTGTGTATTAAAAAAAGACATCAATGTACATGCAAAATACACAAGACTTGGAGTTTTCAATTTAAAAGTTCGAAGGTTATAAAATCATTTTTAGGTAATGTCCTAGACTCACACACCCCAGAATTACATCCAACATCCAGGATCAGTGTGGTCCCATGGTCGTCGCTGTAACCTAAATCCTGAAGGAGTGTGGACGGAATCAGACTCAAGCGGTTCTCTGGAGGATTAAAGGTGTAATAGTTCATAAAGTTGCCATAAGGTGCGGCACCTGGATCATTTATTTCTTCAGTGGAATCGCTACTTATTGAACATGTTGCCATTGTAATATGTGCGCCTCTAAAATGCGTCCGGGTGGAAAATGGGCAGCAGTCAATTTTGGGCTATTATGTGTTGCACTTTTTCTGTAATCGAGCTGTTAAAATTAGTGTTATACCATTAGCACACGCAGAAACACCCGAGCTGGCAAGGTTCGGAGAGTTAAAGGCAATGAATAAAGGTGAATTTGTAGTTGACGTTTAAAAACCTCAATGGCTGTCGAGAACAATTGTCTCCAAGTCAATAGGTGACGCTATGCAAGTTTACACGCAGGTTTATGGGAAGAGGAGAAAAGTCCCCTCCGAGTTTCCGTACCTTACGAAAGCGAAGGTTAGTTAGCTTGAGTGCTAAATTCATATGTTGGGGCACTGACATTGAGAACAACCACGCCAACCTGCTTTTGTTATCGCTTATATAAGTAAAAGGTAAGAAAATTAAAAAGTATTTGCACGGGTAGGACATGTGAGAAATACGTGAGGTTTTTGGAAGCCGATAAAATAGTGTGTGAAGTGCCAAAGTTGAGCACTGTTGCTAGCTTGTAGAGATAAATGTGAAATGTTTTATGTCGAGCCAACGCAGTACTAAACTCATATGAACCTTAAACGAGATATACCCGATAGTTTATCATAAAGTACGTAAGTCAATGTGTGATACTATTAATTAAAATAAAAGAGATCAAATCCCTGCCGTTCACAGCAGTTCCGTAGGTTTTTTGTACTGTTGCACAGCTGAATCTTAAATGTTTTACCATAAACTCAAATTTTCCAAATTAGTTCTTCTTGGGAGAGCTGTCATTATTTACTGATGTGATAATCTTATTTATGAACTATTTCTTATTGACTTGTGTGTAAATACTGTGCAGCAGTGGCAGAAGAATTAATCAGATTTCCTCCATAATGAAATCCTCCCTTCAATAACAAGTCAGCAGTACAGTATTCAGAATAATTATATTTGAGTAATTGAACATCAGCAGCAAAAATGTACTCAGACCAGACGTCTGTTTCAGTGTTGTTATAGAGTATCAGTTATATTGTTTGATCATAATTACTTATGAATAGATGTGTGAGCAGCATTTCAGTATTTTCGCTGGTTTAAGAGGAGCTGACTTTAACTACTTTATGTTGTATATTATTGGCTAATCTTAAATAACAGTACATCATCTTTTATGAGCTTAATGTCTCATGTATATTAAAAAAATATCTGTAAAGATATTGTGGTAAATGTAGTATGTAAAAGACTAATTCCCTCTAAAATGTAGTTAAGGGCAAGTATAAATTAGTATGACATGTAAATAGGCAGAAATGCAAGTACTTAACCCATTACATTATTATAACAGCATGTGGTGTGGCCAAAATACTCCATCGCTGTTTATATTATTTTACAATGCAATATTGATATGTGTCACAAGATGGTGGAAAATCAATAAACTGTTACTGGATGAAGTGACCAGAAAATGTTATTTGGCTAATCCAGCAAATTAACATGTTTTTGGTTTAATACATCTAAAGAGACAAGAAGTGGTGAGGCAACACCCCAGATTGGGATAAAGCTATTTTATTATCATTATTTTGCTGCTGATCCTCTTCTGACTTTCTTTTCCTGGTTCCTTCAGGACCCTCATCATGGTTTATGGAAAGCGCCTTGCTGACATCAGCTATCGGGCTTTTTCTGCCTCGATGATGCTGCTGACCGCATACGGAGGATACCTGTGTGTCATGCGAGGACACCGCTACATGGAGAGGCAAAAACAGCTGAAACTGGCAGCAGAAAACCAGGATCCTGAAGTCATCAAAGACTGACGTCAGATGGACTGATCTCACCTTTGCACAGATATGGACATTTTCCCATTCCTCCTTTTTTGTCCATCGCTGAATCATGAAGATGTTTATTCTTCTCTGGACGTTGGTGTGATTTCATTGTGTGGGTGTTGCGCCCTCACAAGGAAGATTTTTTTTCATTATGAAAATGTCAGCAAGGAAATGAACCAAGAGCATATTATATGCATCAGTGGTCTGTATCAAATCCATGTTATGAGTAGCACTGTTTCAGAAGTGAAGATGGCTGTAATTATTTGTATTATATTCTATTAAAATGCCTTTAACCACACAGTGAAATGTAGTGTTTCTGGACAGAACTTGAGTAAGAGACGACATCTTTCAACAATTGAATATATTTGGAAATACATTTTTACAAGGCACTCAAGTGAGAACGTGATACCAGACATTTAGTATGGTCCTCATACCTGGATTCCTCTATAGGCAGTGTCAAACAATTTCATAAACATTTGGTCTCAGAAGAAGTAAAAAACAAACTGTAAAACAGAACAAGACAATAAGTCACAAAGTAGCCAATGTGATTAAAGGGCAAATACACAAAAAACTACAAAAGGCAGAAATTGCTGCTGTTTAAAGTTTCAAGTGTGTTGCACTTCTGGTCACACATGAAGCAGGTGTCCTTTTAAGAGCTGATAAAACCACATTCATAGCAATACAGTTATTTCTATGTATAATATCTGCTGTGATATGTCTTTTTTGGAACGAAAAGTGCAACATGCTTGAAAGTTTAAATGCACCCCAGCAGCAGTTTTCCAGTGTGAATTAACCCTTAGAAACAAATAATCAAGTTCATCTGACCAATAAAACTGGGAGAGAACATTGAAACCAACATCTGCAGCTAAACTTAGCACAAAGTAAATCCCATCATTTGTAGAATAAGGCTATGCAAATCACTTGTTTCAACTGATTTCCATATAATTTCACCTCAAGTTGTGTCTTACATGTCGCTCTTCAAAGGCGACATCAGTGTCTGCACATCCATCAGTTCACCAACATATGTATCTGTGCACACTCACTTTCAGTATAATGTGTGATGGTAGAATCTGTGTGTGTTTGAATGGGGGCAGGACCCTTGCATGACAGAGGACTGTCATTAAGACAAACAAAGCTCTTGGAGATGTAAGGGTATGAACTGCAGGGGGCTCCCGGCTTCAGGCTCCATGTCACCAGCTGCTGTGGTTCTGTGCTCGGACTTTGGCAGCAGCACAGTGGCCGTTAGTGCCGTTTTCTCCCTTGGGAGAATAAGCAGAAGTCTTGAGGCCTTCTCTGGGCTTGTCAGCCTCTTCTTCCGAGCTGCTCTCAATGTCGCTGCGGACGTCATTGCACACCTAACAGACAGGAAATACAGATGTACTTATCTCTTTTTAAAAGCACCAAGGAGAAATAAGTACAAACTACACAGGTTAAAAAAACTTTAGAGGTCAAACTAAAATAAAATGTATAACTTTGAAGTAACTTAATCACTTTAAATGAATAATATGAGGATTTTAAGGGGCAGTTTACCTTTTTTACATATAATGCTGTGATCTTTGACATTGCTCCTCTATGACATATTAAAAGGAAATAATTATATATTTCAAAGTCAAAATAATATAATACTGACTTAACCATATGTAGATTAAGAGTTTTGTGTATTTTTGATGCCCATCTTTCACATGAGGATCACACAAAGAAGGTTCTCTTCAGCGCCACTCTGAAGAAGGGAATTGTTAATTATAAAAACTCCTTAGTGTAGATATGAGGATGTGAATATTATTTTAAAACAGACTCCAACTGTTTGGCCAAAGATTATTTGTCCATTTTGATGCTGTGTTAAATCTAATGTTTGTTTTTTTTTTGTTTTTGTTTTTTTTTAAAACCTGTGTGTAAAGGTACAGACATTCACCTTCTTTTTTTATGCCAACAAATGCTATCAATTGGAATTCAACCTAATAAGAGACAGCTTGAAACAGTTATTGAATTTAAGTTCTTTTCCATTTCTTTTCATCTTTGCCGGTTGGTGATATATTGTATCTGGAGCCACTTAAATGTTTTTAAAACTACAACAGGCAATTTCACAAGCTGGGGTGTCCAAATAGCTGCCAGGGGTACATTTAATAATGAGAAACAACATCAGCAGAGCACAGAGTAAGCTCATTTTTATAAACCCTGCTGGATATGCTGTAAACTGTGACCAAAGTGACAATGGAGGGAGTCCATCTTACTCTCCTCTTGTTAAGGGGACGGTTTATTTGATTTTTCCTGAGGGCAGAAATCTGTGGATACCTGACACCAGAATTTCATTTGGTAAAACTAGTTGAAACTAGACCAGTGGGGTTGGTATGCTCTCTTCTTTGTGCCTGCATTTTACTGCTTAGTCCAGTTACCAACCTGATTAACAAGCATTGTGAGATTATTGCCCAGTTAATTAGAAAAAAAAAAACACAGTCTGACTAATGTTTGCTTCTCATTTTACCTATTAAATTGTTCTAATAAAATAAAATAATCGAATTGGGGAAAATCACTTTGACTAAACTGCTCACAGTGGATGGAAATTAAATCAATGATAAGGGTTTGCTTCATATTTAGAGGTCACAAGCAAAAAATAAAAGTTGCGTTTTTATGAAAATGTTTCCTGATGCATCTTCACCCTGAAACTTTTAATTCAGTGTGTTACTTTTGCTCTCTGAAATTAGTTTAGGATTTCTTCTCATGCAAATCACCATGTGTTCCTCATAACCACAGGGTGGTGGTGTGGGACAAGTTCAACACACTCCTGACTAATGAGAAACGCTTGGATATACCTGACTGAAATTCATGACACTATTACCACATTACTCATCATTTACAACTCTCTTCCTACTTGCTGACTTTGTGCGTGGGGTTGAATCTAAGTGCTCATCTACTGCAACAGCTGTCCAATTAAACCCGCTGCAATTACACAGAGTCCTACTGGGAATGGACAGGACAGATGGAATTGAGATGTGTGAAACGAATCACAACAGAGGGAGTGAACAGAAACTTACAGCCAAAAACAGAAGGTAAAGTTGTCAAGCGGACAGAGCAGACGGAGGGAAACGAGAGAGTAGTGGAGGAGGGCTCAGTGGACAAAGAGAGACAGAAAGACAGGATCTCCCTCTCTCATTCCAGAGGGAGATGAAACAAACTGCGTCTGCAGAGAGATGAGACAGAGTCAGGGATGAGGCAGAACGGAAAAAGGGTAGCGGTGGCAAATTCATCATCAGAAACAGCTATGGAGTTAATTCAATAAGCGTTCTCCGATCACAGACAGATCTCTGTTATTCATTTGTTTCATTTGGACATTTGTAATGTCCTTGCAAAAGATTGGAGTAAATGTTTTGGGGTCAATATGTTTTTCCTTAATATTTGCTTATACAACAGTATTAAAAATTATTCTGAAATATTTTTTAAGCCTTTGGACAGAGTTTGAGCTGCGTTAAACCTCATGAAATTACACAGTGCAGTACTAAACACCAGCCTGGACACAGTGGGCCAGTCTGAACTTAAGAGGCATGCAGCAGTTCCAAATGTAGAGGTACAGTTTTTTTTTTCAAATGTAGTGAAGTGAAACCTAGCAGGAGCTCGCAACAGAAAACTAAAGATACACTGTCACAAGATCATTAATTGTATGTTGTAATAGCGGGAAAACAATTCCTTGTGTAAGACGCCAAACCCCTCAGCAGGTTTTTCAATTCATTGACAAATTAATCATTAGGTCTGCAAAATGTCAGGAAGTAGTGCAAAGTACCCAGTTTCAAAGAACCCAAGGTGGCATCTATAAATGTCTTGTTATATTTGACCAGCGGTCCCAAACCCAAATATATTTCATATACTATCACATAAAATGACAAAAAGCAGCTAATCTTGAAATCTGACAAAGCTGAAGCTAGTAGATTTTTTGTTGTCTATTTTTACTTTAAAAATGACCACAAAATAGCTGTTGATTCATTTTCTATTTTCTGTCCATCAAATAATTGTTTAATCAGCTAATGATGAGTGACCCACCTTGCCGCGCAGCATGGCTTTGATAGCTATACGGGCTATGAGGTAGGACCAGATGATATGCAGCACTTGAAGAACCAGCAGTAAGAAGTTGAAGAGCCACCAGGATGGGAATGGCCCAACTATGGCCCAGCTCTCAAACATAGTGGAGTTCAGGACCCTGGAAAACAAGGTGACACATAGATGTCTGTGTGAAGGCACATATTTACTCCATAAGCTCCAAACCCAGTGGGAGGAACAAGACGTCAAGCTGTTTTTTTAATCATATTATTAACCACTCTTCTAATGAGGCCCAAACATGGTAATCCCTATTTGGAAACCAATGGCAACCAAAGAGGCGAGTGATATAGCTCTACTGTAATGTCAGTGAGTGGTTGGTGAGGTCATATCTTCCTTCAAATCCAACTGAGTGACAGGAGGTTGTCAACAGACCCACCTCCCCCCGCAGAGGTATGGATTTCAGTCCAGGTAGCCGCACCGGCAACACTAGCTTTATCGCTCATCCACACCAAGACACTGAATATAGCTGCTCAGGTTACTTTTGGCAACGATAGGCTCCCTATTGTCTCTGGAGGTTGAGCTTCAACATCCAGGTCTCTGGCGAGGAACAGTTGCTATCTAGACGGCTCCCTTGAACCTAAACGTTTGCGCAGATCTCTGCAGTGGTCTGGAGCAGAGGTACAATGATGATGAATCTGTTGGTCAGATACTGTGGGCATCCTGGAAATTGTCTCACCAGATTTACAAACTGGTGGTAGTTGCCTCACATTATTTCTGATCACCAGAGCATGGTGGTTTCCATTCTTAGGTAACCTGAAATACACTGGAGGAGTGGAGGGTACAGGCTGTGTGTTTCTGGCCACTGTTTGCAATTACAGCTACAGGATATGGCCTGAAATTAGAGTAATTTAAGAAATCAAAGCACTGTATGATTATGATGTTTTTCTGTTGAAACAGTTGTTTACAAGAACAAAGCTCAAAGAAAAGCATTACACACGCATTTACCTACTTGAGCTCAGCCATTCTCAAAGCTAAAGCTAAAACATTAGATTCAAGATTCAAACATTTATACGTGCAGTAAAATATGTGTAGGAACAATTAAAACCAAGGACACTAAAAAAGTAATACTGTATAAAGACTGTAATTACAAAGTAATATATTTAAATTTAAATGTATTAAAAGTGCATATTGTAAGTATAATAATCATGTATGTGTTACATTTATAGGCAGGTTATATACTAAAAAAAATTGTACACACTCTGGAGAGAATTCATCATCCTGTAGAAATAAGTTTCCTGATTAAACATTTCTTCAAAAACACAGATACGACTTTGCCAGAAAAAGCCGGGATGAAAATATTTGCAGAGATTATCAAACTGCTGAGTGTTATGGCAGAGTAGTTACAGTATTCATTCTGAGGCTGCAGGTATCACACAGTACTCACCAAATTGGATATATAACAAGTCGTGTGATAAAGAAGACCACACTAAACACAATGAAAAGGAAGTCACACAGGCGCTGGTATTTGGCATAGTTGGCCAGCTTGGCTGCCTGTTGAGAAAGAAAACAACAGAAATGAAGCATTAGGATAAGTTTTGCAAAATGAGGAATGTTTTTTCTTTTTCTTCACCACATCAACATCATGTCTACTTCTTGGACTGGTACTCTTAATCTATTTGGATTGCCGCCAAGTGGAAGCAACTGGACACACTAAACAATAATCACAATCCATCTCTATTGTTTCAGAAACCAACTGATCTGAAGCAAAAAGGCTACTGAACAATAAATATCCTAAAAGGAAACTACTTTATGTGAAAGCCGAAGCAGCACAGTTATCAACAGCAGTCATATCTTCCTCCATCTTTCATATCTTTCCTATTTTTGTTTGGCCTCACTTATTCAGCATGTTGGTGATAATTGCTGTTTAATGTCTGATGTGCTATCGGAAAAGCTGTAAATAAGGTGTTAAGTATGGCAAAGGTAATTTACAGTTTGATTGTACGTTTCAAAGGTAAAAACGGTAATAAAATGCCAATCTCAAATTTTATGGTAGGCTATGATCCCACGGCCAACAGTAAAGTGAAGGACAGTTTAAGTGATTTGTAGTTAGTTGCTTAAAAAAATGCACAACCACCAGCTTTCAATACAATTTTCAGAGCATCAAAGACCACCATATTTAACTGACCTCTAGCAGGAAGTCAGAGGCATCATGGACACACATCACCAGACTTCCTACTCGTGCCATGTTGTTGACGTAGGAAAAGCTGATTAGGCCAACTGTAGCCAGGTGATGGATGAACATGATCAGGAAGTCCTGAAATTAAAAAAGGAGAAATGTGGTTAGCCTACTGTATATGTTCATTGTTTCAGACTGAAATATCTCACTACTATTGGATGAATTACCACGAAATTTGGTGCAGACACTGATGTCCCCCATCAGGATCAACTATAATCACTCTGGTGATGCCTTAACTTTTCTTAAGAAACTCCTTCAGGTCAGGTTAGCCTTTAATTACACTGTGTATTATTTAACTACCTCACTGTTTTTGTGATTTAGGTGAAGCTGCTGCAACACTGCAAATGACAGGGTACAAAAACAGCTGAACACTAATAGTAATTTAAGATGTGATCAAGTACAATAAAACTTAGGAGAAATACTTGAAAATAAATGGAGAATGCAGAACACACTGAATGTAACAACTACTCTGGGGATGCAAAATTATTTCTTCAAAAATGCTTTAATTACGTAGCCTGATCCACTGTTTGGGAGCTGTGACCACAAACACACAATCTTTACATCAATCAAAGGCCTTAAGAATCCAGGGTCATATGGACATAAACGCTTTTGCTGGCAACAGACCATTTAATAGTTCAATACATAAAATAAAATGGGCCCTGGTGCATAAATGTATATGATCAGTTGTGTGTTTTTAAGTGTCTGGCAGCAGCGGTCTCTATGAGCTAAAGATGGCAACACAGAATAACTAAACCCTTTTAAATCAAGACTATGTTTCCTGTTAGCATCACCACCACAAAAAAAAAAAAGTTGCTTCATGCCCTCTGTCAGCCCCACATATCACACCGCTACAAATGTTAAAAGAACTTATTCAGGTCAACCGTCACAAGATGGAAATAAAAGCAAGACTGTGCATCAAAAGGCACATCAAAGGCATTTCTAAACAGTATTCACTCTTTAGAGTAAACAGACAGCTAGAACTGATTTAAACTATAATCTGACCCAGTGGTAGCGCTTGTTTTACGCAGCTAGACTTGGAGGGAAGGAGAAGATACAGGTGAAAGATTAACAGTGCAGAGCAACCGAAGACAAACAAACAGGCAGAGACAAGAGCTAAGCTTAAGATAGAGACATGTGCATCTGACCATCAAGTCATCTGGACTGACAGCAGCAGACTGCAGGAGTGGACAGAGGGGGGGCTGCAACTGATTTTGTCAGCAATATATTTGGACATGAACATTTATCTTTTCTTAAACCGGATGGGTTGAGGTCTGATTGCTCTATATTTCTAACCAGCTTCCTATATTGTATCTTACACTTATTTGACATGAACATAATTCAACCTACATTCAGCAATATTAGTAATGGTCTGTTACAACAAGGTCTGGTCTGTTACAGTCCAGGCTGAGATCTCCTTATGTGGGATATTAAATAAATACTAGAGTTCCAACTCCAAAAGCTGAGTTTGTAAAGCCAGTGAAGTTCAACATCCATCTTCATAGAATCTTTAAACCTTTAAAGTCCTTGAATGAATACTGGCTCTTTTCCCTGTTTGGAAATACCCTTCAATGTGCATATTTATTTATTCGCTTTTTGGAGCGTGTTTTAATCACAGTGCAAGAAAGTTGAGCAAAGATTCAACAGTGAGAAAGGCCTTTAGCTTTATAAACACACATCTACTGAAACAATCAGCTGGCCAGGAGTTTCATCAGTCTCATCTGAATATCACATCATGAAATATGAAATTAAATTACGATGTGAAACCAGGCCAGCTGCCTCTTAGTCAAATCCAAACAAGTATCATTGGCTGACTTTTCCAGTCTCACACTCCAGACATTTGCAGCACAAAACATCTAAAACATTAAAAGTTGAGTGTCTGTGGCTTTAACTAACTCCAGCTCTAATGCGCTGGTATTGTGTGGAATTTCTGCAATTCTAATAGAGTTAGGCCTCCTCCATCCTGCAGTCACATGAGTGTAGATGCCCTCGTGCTGAAAACACAAGGCATTCAAAGACTGAGCAGCACCAGCTGCACCCCGCCCCCCTCCCAAAAAACAAAAACATGTGATCTCCTCCAAAATTAGCACAACAAGAGCTTGAAACCAAGCAAACTTACAAGTCAGGCTTAGCCTTAGTGCACTGTTTGTTATGTGCACACACATGCACGCATTTCTCTGCCGACACCAAATGAGGAACAATAGACAAACGTTTAACAGGGAGTGGCAGCTGTGGTGTATCCAGTGTGGTCTAACCTAACAGTGCCATAGCCAGTGTGGTTCCTCTCACCTTCCTTTTTATGTCAGTAAACTGAGAGAACATGAGTGACCAGTAGAAGGCCAGTTCTGTCACATAGTAGTGGTAAAGGCCTGGAGTCATGACCTGAAGAGACAGAGAGGAGAGATTAGTGAGTCGGACTATGAAAGAATCTTACTCATGTTGAAGTGTTTTCTTTTTTAAATCAAACAATAGTGGATATCACACATTGATCAGACTGAAAGAATGACACGTGATCAACACTGTGCAGCATTGTTACAAATCATGACATCAAATATCCTGGTCCAATGAATCACCAGGTTACTTAAGCAATAAGACATGAGCTGTGCTGTCCAGTGAATTGTGTCATGCCTGGCAATGTGTCTGAAGCTGCGTTCAATCTACACACATTCATTCTCAAAAACAGAGCATTTTTCTGAGACGGTTTAAATCTCTGTCCTCCTGAATGGAGCATTAACCCTGAGGAAGCCTTTATGACTGCATTAAACATATCTGAATTCTATAGCTGTAATCTGGGCAAATTTGAATGTGAACCTGCAGCTTGAGCTGGTAAATGTGGAAATGTGTCTGTGAAATCTGCAAAACACAATTCTGTCCAGTCCTTCTAAAACTTATATGCATAACATAGGCACACTTATGTTTTTCTTTTAGTAGTATTTTTGGCATTATGCCTTTACTTGACAGTGGACAGTCTAAAGAGAGACAGGAAAAAGGCAGAGGGAGAGAGAGAAGAGTATGATGGGGGATGAGGAGTATATTGGGTTGTGTGCCTTAACCTTTTTTTTTTTAAATTATGATCAAGATAGATAGTGAACAAGACATTTAACAGATCAACACTCAGCTTGTCTCTGATATGAGGGTTGAATACATGTCTTTTAAAGTGATAATAGTACTAGCAACACTAATAGTCGCTTAGCAACATGATTTCTATGCAGCACCTGAGTGCTACAGTATGAGTGATAATGTTGATTTACCAAACTAGCACATATATATAAGTATTTCAAGGGTTAGTATCAAATATGTCTCACAGAATGTTTTTTTATAATCCAGCCAGCCAATCAGACCAGAGGATCAGAGCTGTCCTTTCCTATAAACTCAATAAAATGTATACTTAACAGTTTTAATCCCAAAATGATATGAGGAAAACAACAGGAATACAAGGACATGTGCATGATATTAATATTAGTCAGACTTGTAATGATACATGATCATTGATACAAGAGCAGGGAAAAAGCAGTGAAGTAAAAGCAAATGCCTCAACTGTTACACAAGCTACTTTTCTGCTCATGGTTAACTCTGCAGCAGTTTAAGAAGTTCAAAGTCATACAATCCAATGCGACAGCTCTGCAGTAAATGTTCTGTTCTTGACATTGTTGGTTCAACTTGCAGGTAATTTCTGAGGCTGTAGTTGTTATATCGGATTGCATTAGAGATGATACAGACAGAGAGTGGAGCTGCCTCGTACCTGATAGGGGTAACCGTACCAGCAATGCCGTGTATCCCACATCCAAGGGGACTGAAAACAAACACAAATTAGTTTAGCAAACAATTGATAATGTCGTTATGCGTGAAAATATACCCAGCCAATGAAATATTATTGATATCACAGTTTCCAAGCTCAATCTGATAGTTTGCTTACCTGCCCTAGAAACCGGAACCCATAGATAAATATGCACAAATAAAATGTAAACCTCCACCTAGAAGTACAAGAGAGGAAATTATGATCCAGAAAATATGACTCATTTCAGAGGGGAACGACATAAAAAATTTAAAAACCCATTTGCCTGAACCCTAACCATTACAAAACGTGTTATTCCCCAATCCTTACTCTAACATAAACTGATCCAGATTCTATTATAAATCTAAATTCAAATCATAACAAAAAAACAATCTTCGAAGGAAAAGCCAAAAATGTTCTTATTCTGCTGGTCTAAAACTCAGTTCTGTCCTCACAAAGACAGAAGTATAATAACATACACACACTACACAGCTGCACAGAAAACACAACCACTGTGTGCTCAAGCCTGCAGAGCGGTTAAGGGTGAACACAATAGGCATTAACTTACATGCTCTCGCAGAATTTAGTGTGTGTGCTGGGTTTATCTTGGTTCCTGCGGTGTCTGAACCAACGCTGGACCTTTCGCACCTCCCAGTCCAGCTGCTTGGACAGGCCAGCCAGATGGCGGGAGTCTGGATTCTGTGCAGAGAGAGAAAGAAACAGCAAACAACTTCAGTTTGTTTTAAGGAGTCCAGCAGGGATGAAAAAGAAACTTTATCTTTATGCACACAGTATCCAGTGCACCCATTAGCATATTGCAATTTTGCTAATGCAGCAATGGAAGTGAGATATTTTCTGCTAATGTTACAAATCAGGAGAGATATGTGCTTTTGCATAATTGTTTCATCATGCACGGCTGTGTCTAAGCGCTCCAAATCACATGCAAGCTGCCCAGACCCAACCCATTGTTTTCTGGAGTTATCCAGGGAGTGAAACACAAAAATGCAAATTCATTATCAGGAAAATAGTTTCCACTAAATCTGATTTCATGACAGACTGGTTTTCTATTGGTTGTGTAGCGTGTAGGATGTAGATTTTATGTTGTGATTTGATGTATTAATGTTTCAAAGGGAGACAAGATCATGAATGTATCGTTAGTTAAGACTGATCAAAGACAATGTTCAATTGTTATGTTGACAAAGGAACAGTTGTGTTAGCGACAAATAGAGCTGCAATGATAAATCAAATAATTGATTGGAAAGGAAATCAATCAGTAGCGAATAATTTTATTCATTTCTTGAGCAAAAATGCCAGATATTCCAGCCTTTCAATTATAAGGCTTTGCTGCTTTTCTTAGTGATGCAAGACAGTAAACTAACTTTTATGGACTAGTTAATGAAAATAACTGTTAGTTGTCTACCCTTTAGCACAATTAGCCAAGTATCACTTGTAATGGATCAGTTGGGGTGAGTGAGAACTGATGCCACGTCCATGTCGTGTCAGAGTTTGTATTCAGCATTCATGTCAACATTCAATTCGTTATCACAACCGAAAACTCTGACGTCTCTGTAAGATCTGATATATTCAACTTGGCCTTTAAGAATAGGGAAGTGCTTGAAAACCAAACAAACATGGGTGCCTTGCATAGCTGAAGTCGATTGTTTCATGTAATTAAACCAAAATTTAATGGACATAGCTTTTTCCCGCATCGCATGAATGTGGCAAAATAGCAACTATTACTGATACTCCTGCACATAAATGCTTCTTTGAAAAAAAGGGATTAAGGCAAGAGAAGTTGTCAAAAAAGAAATCCAACCTTTGTGATGGATGTAAACACTTTCTCCAGCACTGCATTGGGCTGAGCTCTTCTTCCAACACCTGGTTGAAGGTGGAGACTCCGGGCACAGGTACTGGCAAAAAATCTGTGACAGAGGTCAAGATGTGAGAAACAAATGGTCACTTGCTGTTTTGAAAGTTTCCACATTAGCTCTGAAACGAAAACACACAGAACCTGTTTGTGATGTTTTACACAGCATTAAACATGGTTCCTTCACACATTCAAAAAACTATCAAATGGATTTTTTTTTGCTGTGGTGACCAACAAAACAAAAATATGCTACAGCATGGAGCTTCTTGTAGGCCAGAGCATTACAATGGACAACAGCCAAATAATGTGCTACTACTACTACTGCTACTGCTACTACTACAGTCCAGGACACTACAGTAACATCACATCACCCGTCAGATAATGTACCACACTCAGGTGCAACAGAGTTCTGCTAAACAATAGATCAAGTCAAATAAATCGGGTTTCAGTTTGGGTTTATCACATGCAGCTTCAGGTCCATGTCCGGTTTAGTCATTTTCAAATGTAATTTATAAAGACTTTCTCTCTATCTTTCTCTGGCTCTGCCAATATACTGGGTGGAAAGCTAACGGCAAGTAATGGATGGCATATAGCACATACTTGCTGAAGGGGAGCTTCTGAAAATCCCCAGTGATTCTGGGATATCTTTTTCATTATGGGAACAGCATGACCTTGTATGACCCCAGCCGGTAGTTCTGTTCTGCATTGTAAATGAACTGTCGTGTTCAGCTGAGAGAGAAGCTCTGAGTTCAGCCTGAGCGTTTATCTGATTAAAGATAGGAAAGCTATGTAGTGACGGACAGGTAGAACTGGCTTACATTATCCAGAAACTAAACATGTACAAAGAATGTGTATGTAGCTATTGTAGGCCACTTGTGTTTCCTGCTGTTGTATACTGTGTGAGTTTATGGTCATAAACTTGCCCTCAATCTGGTTTAGTCTTAAAGACATGGGTACAGGCAGTGTTAATTTCATGCACCTCACACACACACACCTCTAAACAGCAGGGGATACACTGATAGTCAACAACATGAAAGAAGAGGAACAAGCAGAAATACAATCATGTTTTGGTGCTGTATTTTGGGTAGTTAAAAAAAAACTATTATTGTATCTGACCACATGCCTGCCGAACATCTCCAGACATATCTCACAACTACCAGTGCTAAATAAGTATGAATACTTGTGCCACTTCATTCCAAATAAAAGTCTGCACTATCGCTTTAAATACTACAGAAGCATAATGCATTCACTCAAGAAAAAAAATTGTTCCGTTTTTGTGAATTAACGTGATTATTATCTCTGAATTCTGAGAAGCTTTTTTTAAAAAAAAAAGAAGAAGAAAATCCTTTTTCTTTCATTAATGAGATTATTATCTCAGAATTCTGATTCTGAGATAATAATCTTGCTAATTCAAAAAAACAGAGCACTTCTTTTTTTTCTCAAGTGAATGCATGACACTTCCGTAAAATACTGTTCTATTGTCAAGCAGAATAAAAAGGCCCAATAAATCATTTACAAGGTTGTGCATTGTCAGTGTGGCTGCTACAAGAAGATTACACAGAAACTCTTGAAGAAAAACATTCCTGTGGTCTTAACCTGTGAAATCTACAGTCTGAACAAACACGTGCTTCTCTAAAAAGGCGAAAGACAACCAAAAACGTGGAGCTCCAGTAACGCTGATGTCACAGACACTAGCAATAGGTTTGTAACCACAGCGTCTGTGTTTCCTCTGCTTCACACCTGGTAGTGAAATAAATGAAATAAAGCTCATTTGTACAAACCAAGGTCTGAGTCCACAAGGTAATTTGCAAATTTGTTAATGGAAGCCAGCGCAAGTTTTAGTGAGGTTGATGATTAGAGCCAGACATTCGTGCTTTCTCCATACAGAAGGCTAAATAAATAAACAAATAGGCCAAATATTTGTGGCTCAGTATTAACGAATGCTTCTAACAGATAACAGAGTGAAAAGTCTTGAATTTATTAATTAACCTGTTTGTACAGAAATGACTTGAAAACAGCTGTAAGGTGGACTTCAGAGGTCTCCACAATATTCCAGAAATCCCCTGATCTGCCTCGCCTGACACGTAATAATACAACTTTATAAGATTACATTGTAAATTGTAGTTTAATCTTTCGTCTGGCAATAACCCTCAGTGTTACAAAAGAATGCAAACTATGTTCATGCCTCTGAATAAAGTGTGGACTATTGAGGGAACTTTGTGACAAGTGATTCAGTTAGTAGTGAAGATAAACGCCCCCCTACAATTTGAAATGTCACGGTTTTACTTGATCATGTGATCACACAGCTCTCAGACCACAGCATGGCAGCTGAAAGGATTTTCTGTCCACAGCTTAAGAAGAAAACACAGCGAGCATGAAACGTACAGTTTACTATTATTTAACCTACGTAAATGTCAGTTTTGCTGTGACAAATAATATCTCAGATATTGTCGCTCTGCAGTCATAAAGAAGTATCTCTTATAACACGTAGGTCTTTCACCAACATAACTATTGTTTTTCAGATTTATCTTAGAGTTTTCCCATAAAAAAAAAAAAAAACACTATTAAGAAATATCTATTTGACTGTCTGGAAGCTCCATATCACAGCAACAAGGAAACATAACAGTCTGAACTTCAAAACCATATCATGGTATTTTATACTCGCATTTTAAAAACCTTTTTAGGTTTATTATCTTTTTTGTGTTTTATTTTGTGATGTTTGCTAATGTATCTAGAGCCTCTTATTACAAGTGTTTATCTGTTTCATTAGCTATATATCTTTTACATTGTCTCACTATCTATTCGCTTGCCCTGAAGGTTCAAAATGTTGCCTGTTTCAGTGCAATCACATCCAGGAGTTATAATCCAGAGTGTGGATATCAGCGTTGTGCATGAACACGCCATTCATTGAACGCATACATCCTGTGTCTACTGCTGGCAATACAACAATACAAACAACACAGATACCGATACGGCTGAAGCCAGTTCGTATGAATATTTCAAGGGCTTTTATGAACAAATTGGTGTAGATTACAATGAAAAAAAAATCTGAACATCATCCACCTAAGCAACAAATTTGAAACGACACTGACCAGTCTCTTGAAGTATCTGTGAGTGAATGATGGCCACAAGAAATCACTAATAAAAGTTCAGACCATGAGCCAACAGCACAAAGTTCCTCCATCTAAGTCACACACACAGCATACACACATAAAATATATATTCACATTGTTTTTTCTTGGATTTTAAAAGTAATCTCTGTCTGTGACTCTATAGTGGTATACAGCAATTTGTAAAATTTGAGAAGTGGCAATGACTGTGGGCTGAGGATGGATGGGTAGGAGGAGGTTCCACTGAAAAAAAAAAAAATGTTTAAATGGGAGAAATGTATGTGAAGTAATTCATTTTTTGACTGTGAACTTAGTTCAAATTCAAAATTGTGAACTATGAATGTGAACTAGTTCCTTTTAACCTTTGTGAACTGAACTTTGACCTAGTTCTTGTAAAGTGTGAACTTGCACAACACTGGTGGATACTGAATATAGTCTACTATACTGACTCTGGCCTAAATATAAAACGAGACGTGCACATGACTTCCCTTCTGTATGATCAGTCAGTGACATAAACCAGGAGATACCAGAGAGAAAATAAACAAGAGATGTGTTTCTGGTGAGCCCATCTTCATATGAGCAAAGACTTTTTCATATGCTTCAGTTTAATACTGGTAAGTGAAAATGCCTCATTGGTGCAGTTAAACACTTGTGATGTAAGCTGATAAAATGGCTGCATTTCAACATGTAAATCTCACCTAGTGCTCCTTTGAGCCTATCAGCCAAATCTAATCAGGCTCTTCAGGTATCGGTTCAGCAATCCTGAATCCATATTTAAATGTAGCAAAATCCTCTTTATAATAAAGCCTCTATTATCTTCAGCTTGTGCACAAGGAAAAGGTTTCTGGTGGTTGGAATCTGACACTCAGCCACAAAATAGCCTGGGCCATTGTGTTCCATTATGAGCAAAGTAGGAAAAAAATAGAAAAACTCAAAAAACAAAACCGTGCTTTTTGTCTGACGTAAAACCACTCACACTTCTTGTCTTCCCTGTTTTTTTTTTTGTTTTATTGGTTTGTTTTTTTTTCTTCCTCCAAGAACCAGATTTGCCTCTCGGTTCTCTTGTCCTGAATTGATGTTTAGTTTCAAGCAATGACATGTATGTAGATTAAAGTGGCTGGGTTGTGTAACTTTAACATCATCCAAACTAGCATGTGTATATAATCTATACACCTAACACAGAAAGCACAGTTCTGAATGTGATGCAGCTTGTAAGTCTGATTCACCTTGAATTGACTCAGTGGTGAAGCCTGAAGTGCCAACACGAGGTTTAAAGAATACAAAGAGTCACTTCACTCCTACATCTGATTATATACTTGAAGACTGATTCTTTAATTGAAGTTTTTTTTAAAGATTCCTCCTAACCTAACTGAATTTCATGACTGAAAGTAAAATGGTCCAAAACTGGTGGACTGATGACTGTGTGGCACTGAGGTGCAAAAGAAAAACATAAAGCGCATTCTGCAGAGAGGTTGGACTAGATATGTGGCATTATGTGGTTAAACATTACTAAAGGCAATCCACATTACAAATGACATTTAATAGTTTAAGTGCAACTTGAACATTAAACACTTTTAATGAGCAGAGTCAAAACGCGTTTGGCCCTTTGATCACCTTAAAGCTCAGAGGCTGCACGGTGCTGAATGTGATGCAACCTGTGAGTCTGAACTGAGTCAGAGGTAAAGCTGTAATTGCCAACATTATCTCTCTAACAATCTCTCGATTAAATCGTTTCTCAAGCTAAAGGATGAGCTGATGTGGTACAGATATAGGATAAGTTAGGTTATCTTGTAAGCACAGGCCTTTCAAATTTCTGTCAAACAGGAGGGCGAACTGACGGAAATAGCCCATGCAAGCCCGAGCCTGCAGTGGCAGTCCGCAGCAACAGGAGGGGGAAAAAAGGCAAAAGATGCAAGCTGATCTATTTATGTCAAATGTCAAAACA